TCAATAGCTCCCTTTGATATGCTGGAAAACGAAGTCGTTACTCTTTGTCATCATGAAAAACCATGGTTCGTGATAAAATCCGGACTTCTCCGCATAAATAATCTTTCTGTTGTAACGAAATAGGCAGATATAATCCATTCTCATCGCTGTGGGCGGCATAGAATTATATAAAGAAATACCCTGGTATATAATATCCACTCTTTGCAACCCAAGGTCTATAAGCTTATTCTAAGAATATCTATGCAGTGTGACTTCCAGATTTGGTTTCTTGTGAGTTTGTGATAAATGTCGCAGTTACTGTGAAACGCGCGGCGGTAGGATTGCTATGCCTGTAGACGATACTACCCTGTTCACATGCTTCCCCAGAACCTTTGGATATTTCCTCTCTGGTAGTCCCTCTCCGTGAGAGACGACGAAATTTATCTCAGTAGACTGGTTAGCAAAGCTCGGATGGGGGACATTAATAATACATCGTCTTTTTGGCAATGTGAAGGGCTATTATTGTTTGAGCTCTACCCGAGGAGGTGAGTCAAAGATGAAGATTGTCTCGTATGAACGTATGAAGACGTGCGCCTTTATTCAATTCTACAAACGCACCATCCTTAAATGATTAAACCTTATACACATTTTAAGTTTTATGCAAGCACGAGGGCAAAGGCAGCAGCGATCAAGTCAAAGTCAAACCCAACTCAGAATTGAGCCTTGAGCCGCATCTCCACCGCAGACCACCTCCTTTACACAACTTCGTTCATTACACCTCTCAAACCTCAAACTGCGCCCTCGAAGGTTTGTCTAAAACCGTCACCACGACACTTGGTTCAAGATGTGCATAGAAGTTTGGTACCTGTATGATTGCAACCCTCGCAAAAATAAGAGGCATCTGGTTTTCGGCCATTACAGAGCATGCGAACTCTGGAAATCCAAGCACGCCGACGCAGGCGAAAAGGACGGCAGCGAAGAATGCACTGGGTATGACGATGTAGAGGACCATGAGACGATCGAGAGGACCGGCGAAAGATGTCCGCAGTGCGCAAATGCGGGTGGTTCTCCTAGTTCGTCGGATTAAGCTGGGAACCTAGCTGGGACGGTAATATTGGGAAGGCGAATACGGAATAAGGGCACACGATGGGCTTCATTTTAAGGAACTGGCGTTTTTAAGGCAGAGAGTTGACCTCGTGGTCCAAGGAGTTGATGATAAATCTGCGGTTCCACTCCATCATACGCTGCATTAAGAATAATTCATTACGGCCAGTCTTCACAGACTTTCATGTTTACCATGGTTGGGACAGTTAGAAATTTCCACGCTTTTGTTTTCCTAGGGGGTGGAGTAGGACATGGTCCTTTTAATATGGCTATTGAGGAAGCTTGAGTCTAAACTCACTTATTAGTAACGTCCAAAAAGACGGCAAATATATTATATAAATGTTTCCGGGCCAGATATCTTTGTAAATACCAAAGAGCGCTAACCTAATATGTTATTATGTCGATGGTTATAATATGAGGATCTTGCTCATCGGAAATCCATATCCTTATATAATACCTAACAACCTGATCAGAAGATATTCTATTATCTTATTATGCTTAAAATAAATGCCATGTTTTAGTTTAGCCTTAGTAATACTATAAAACCTACTTGAAATTTTCTCCTTCATATCTTAGTGCTTAGTACTAGGTAGTAAGCCTATATTCAATTTATTATAATATCTCAACGTATTCTATAATGCGCCTATGGTAGCATATGCATATATTCAACTTATAATGCACGAATTTAATCTTCCTTTGTTGTTTCCTATATCAATGTAAGGTCTCTTACACCTTATTCACTCATTGATTGAAGGTTATAGGGGATTATACCATGAATAGGTCATCTGTTTGAATAAGCGGTACAGCATGCGGTCTTAGCCGGGTAACGATTAATATGATCCCGTAAACATATCTACTTAATCATATTTATCTACCTCTCTATGTCCTACCTATGGCAGGATTCCGGTCTTAGATAGCTCTAACAAGTATACAAAACCTCATAAATGGGAAGTGAAGAATCGAATGATGTTGGATTAGGTATAAGCTTCTATTGAAGGTAGCTAGGGCATTTCCAAAAGAATTCCTGAATATTGCCACGCTATCACTTGGTTTCTATTACGTACGGAGCCTTGTCTATAGGACAACAACGGAGAAGACAAGTAGGTAAACTTGGAACGGACATCAATTTATCAGGTTCATTCCGCATTTTCAATCGCAGCCCCTATCGCCGAATCAGTAAGCGATGACTTAGGTTACCTTAAACTCGGTTCACTTTCTCTTATCACCTCACTACTGGCGTGGCAGATCATCACGAGGCCTCTAGGCTCTGTGGGGATTTCCTATTTAGCTCGCCGTCCGATATCCGATATACCACCATGGCGAAAAATGAGGGGAAATGTTGCATGTCCAGGTTGAATTCGTAGGACATCGAGCTCATCCCTAACGAGAACATTACCTATCGGCTCCGGCACCATTGTATGGGATTTGTTCGGCGGCCCTGGGGAAGCCAAGAGTGCGGAGTCAATGCCAGGGGGATATGCGAACAATAAGATCGTCGCTTCAAGTTGCTCAATCCCGCATAAACCCCAAAGAGCTACCAGATATATCTGCCGAGCTTGGCGTCGTGTATAATATATACGACACTTCTTGGGAAGCCGACTGGGCGCGATCCGCGTCCTCCCAGGGTCCTCGAAGCTGGCTAGATATGTATAGATTGCGGAGCGTTGCAGCCGGGCCAACGATCTAGGTACGCGACCTGCAAACCGGCTAAACTTGAGATTAAGAGCGTATACTCTTTTCGATAGCCATAAGATGCCAAGAAGTGGTGTCACCCATTGGCATTCCTGGAGCTGTCGTGTAAATCCCATGCGAGAATCAAAGCAGGTTTGAATAAGTGACATCTGTGATGCAGATGGATAAATGACAAAAGGCAGTGTGGGGGGAGGGGGAAGTTACATCAGACTCCCTAAGGATATGGAGGATGGAGCTCCGACAACGCCTTCATCGTCGTCGACCTGTCTATAAAGTAGAAGGGGGTCGGGAGCTGGCGAGTGACAAGATGAAGAAGGAACCTCGAACGCTGTCCTTGTCTCTATCGACCTTGACGACCCTAACAACTTACATCTCACCTATCCCGCAGCTAGCAGGCGAATATCACAATGGCCATCTCAACCGATGTTCCCCAGACCGTGGAGTGGAACGGGAAGAAGGTCCCGGTCTACCCCATGGAGATCATCGACTTCTCGAAGCTGCTCTCCCAAGAGCCGGCCGAGATTGAGAGGCTGGTTAGCTGCTGTCAGGAAACGGGATACTTCTACCTGGACCTGCGAGGCATCGACGGCCGCAGAATGCTCGAGGACCAGCAGGACACCCTGAAGCTCATGTACCGCTTCTTCGATGCTCCTCTCGAGGCCAAGAACGAGTTCGGTCTTGTTGCACCGCATCTCGGGTGAGTGACACCTCTAAGGTAGCCAACTAGCTACCTCCTATACCTAAGCTAGCAAGCAAAAAGGAAAAGAGAAGAAAAAAGAAAAAAGAAAAAAGAAAAAAAAGAAAAGAAACATTCGTTACTGACAACTGAGGAAAATAGATACGAGCCTGTCGGTTCGCGTACCGGTGTCCTCGAGAACACCAAGGACGGTTACGAGATGATCAAGGTCTCCCGCGACGAGATCCAGAAGGACAGCCCGCATCTACCAGCCGTCATCAAGAACAGCCCCGACATGAAGGTTCTCGAGCACGCCATCGCCGGCGCCAACATCGCCACCAAGACCATCCTATCGGCTCTTTCCACCGGCCTCGGCCTCACCGGCGCCTCGCGCTTCGAGAACACGCACCGCAACGACCGGCCCTCGACCAGCACCATCGCCATGATGCACTACATCCCCTCCGACCCCACGGCCAAGAACATCGGCCACCAGAAGCACACCGACATCAGCTCGCTAACCTTCCTCTTCGCCGAGCAGTGGGGCCTCCAGGTGCGTCCCCCCGGCGCCAAGGAGTTCGGCTTCGTCGAGCCCAAGGCCGGCATGGCCGTCATTAACGTGGGCGACTCGCTGCGCTTCGCGAGCGGGCACACCATGCAATCCTGCATCCACCGCGTCGTGCCTCTCGACCCCACCGAGCACCGCTACTCCATCGCCTACTTCCTGCGCGCCGAGAACGACGTCGTGTTCACCGACAGCGAGGGCCGTCTTATTACCGCCGGCCAGTGGCACGACGAGAAGTTCTTCGCCTTCACCAGCCCCCCCGAGATCCAGGCTCTAGCCCCGAGCTCCATGATTCTCGGCGGCATGGCCGAGGAGGAGGAAGAGCCCGTCGAGGCTACCGCGTCCAAGGATGCGCCTAGCCCTGTCGTCGGCGCGACTACTCTCGGCGAGTCCGTGCAGGTATACTAAACTGCTTAAGTCAAAGTGGCTTGTGGCCTCCTGAGCTGAAGGCTTCCGAAAAATGGTATATAGAGAGGAGAGATGGGTTGGCTATACATACCTACCTATCGACTTATCTACTACTGACGGTCGTTATGCCTGGATGACTTCCAAAAAGAAGAAAGATAAACATCCTACTTGTCTCTCTTTCCGTGCTGAACCGGCCGGTACAAACTTCTAGATCGCCTCGCGTATAAAGGCGGATAGATGGAGGACATGAGCATATTCCATAGTGTTATATATGTAGTCTTCAATAGGATTATTCTCCTTTGTCGTTATGAAGATCTGATTATTTCATCTAGTAAGCTTTACGTGACTTCGCTTGAATGGATCTTTTATGGACAAATATGTAGCAGTAGCTTCTCGTAGAGAACAGGACGCGTTTTATTAAATAATATCTGCACAAAGCAATACCGAATAACAACGACAAATTACTACTGGACCGGGTGATGATCGTACGGCATGGTGGTCAGATATGGCCTTGTCCCCTCCCCTATCCATCTATCAACCTCGCACCGCAAAGGCGGCACCTAAGCTAACACCTACGGCTCAATTAATTCCCATTCCACCTAGATCGAGAGCCAGGTTATCAATATCGTTGGCGCGTTGCACTCCCGCATCAGGCGCGTGGTTAGCACCACCGACGGGGGCTCCACACTCCGGACATCTGGCTCGCTCCATGGGCATCCCGCACTCACCAACCGTAAATGGATGGTTGTTCTCACACACGTACCAGTGGCCGGTTCCGGAGAACTCAGCCGCCATAGCACGGTATACCGCCCGCATCTCCTCCGTAGATACAGGATCGTAGAATACGCTATCGCGTACCATCTTTTCTGTCGCCTCGATCTCTGCCATCATTCCCGTGGTCTGATCATTATACTTCGCGACTAATTCACGAGCGAGGGCTAGATGTTCCTTAGCCTTTTCCTTGAAGTTCTCGGCCTTTACGGCGTTAGTGTTAGACTCGCCCTCTACTTGCTCGGCTGGGAGTAGCGCTCGGCTGAAAGCGCAAAACTGTGCAAAGTAGACATGAGCCTCAGTTTCTTGCCTGGGGTATCCTGTGGCTTTGGCACGTTCTGCCAGGGACTCGCACTCATCCAACTGTATCGAGAAATCCAGATTTAGCTCCCCTCGACCCTCTGCTAGCGAATCCCGATGCGTCATGAAGTCGGTAACGATGATAATATCGCATTTCAGGGAAAGCATGCATGCCTGTAAATGTCCCTTGATCTGGATCCTTGTCTCATCGAAGGCAAATATCCCCTGAGTTTTTCGCTGTCGCGCTGCATGTAGGACAAAGTCGTTGACGCGCTGGAAAGGTTGCTCCTCCCTTCTAACTTGCCCGAGGAAATTATTGATTCGCTGCCACAGTTTAAGAGCTTTATCATATCTAGAGTTCCCTACCCAGTCGCAGATGAGTTGGATCTGTTTCACACGGCCAGTCGAAAAGACTTTCTTGTTAGAGTGGGCATTCTTCTGTAAGATTCGGGGAGGAGGTGGAGCTGTTGAGATGCGCCCCTGTACATCAAGTAGAAGCTCCGCAAGCTTGCTATACTCAATCTGGGACCAAGAAATGAACTTCTTGGTGGACTCATCGAGCATGGCTCGTCGGACTATTCGCCCATATCGTGAGATATTACGTAGAGATCCACGGCAAGTCGGACAAACTTTTACCTCATCCATGGAGAATGGTTCGGAGGTGTTGAGGATAGCTGTTGGGTTATCCTCGGCCGACATCATATAATGAGCTTTCATATCCATGATGCCGTCCATATTAGTCTTAGTAGTGAAATGTCCACAGTCCGGGAAGATGCAAGGATCCTCGTTTAGGTCGATTTCATGGTATTGCATGCCCATGATGAAATCTACCATAACCGACTTTATCTCTTCAGAGCAGCAAGTCTGACAAAATTCCGCCTTGGGGCACGTCTCTCCACATACAGATGGGCATTGATGTCCACAACTCAAGACCTTTTCGCACCTCTTCGAGCAAGGCACCCAGTCACAAGGTGCTGCACAGGGCATAGTACACTTCGCGTGGGGACAACTGGATGCGCAAGTCTGCTCGGCGCATGGCACACAAGGTTCGTGGCATTTCTTGCTGCATTTAGAGTGGCTACACCTAACTTCGCATGATTCTGGACAGAGAGGACACTTAGCTTCGCCGTGACACGGCTGCCGGCAGGTATGGCGACATGTTGTGTATGCCCGGCCGCAGGCTTGCTTGCAGATAGGGTGGACTGTCTTGACGATTTTGCCATCTTTCCTCTCCTTGCATTGATAGCATGCACTCTGGCAGTTATGACCACATGGCTGAGGGTCGAGACATAATTTTTCACACCGGTAAGTGTCAACGCTCACGTCTGTGTGACAAGGCACATCAACGGTATGTCCACAACCAGGCACAGTCTTCGAGACCATCTTCTTGCAGGCGATGGTAGAGGGGTTCTGCGCTTGCCAACAGGATGCTGCGAAGATTTTGTGGCCACAGGCAAGAGTGATATTGACGTCTTGTAAATATTCATCACATCTGGGTTTGCAAGGTTCGCCACAAAGCAACTTGCAAGGATGTTGGCATCCCTTCTTGGGCCTGGGACAAGGCTCCAAGCACTTTACGGCATTGTGTAGATTCTCATGATGGCATCTGTTAATACATGAGTGCCCACACGAGAGGCGTCGGTCGCACTGGAGTATACATCCCCCTTCAGGTGCGACTCGCAAGAAATCGTCAGCCTTTGATACTAAAAGGGGTGTATCAGGGTTGGGATGACGTGGGCCTATAAGGTTGACGGTTAGTATTTCGATGGTTCAAGGAAGGGAAATGCTTACAATGTAACTCCAACTGAGCCCCCAGGTTCTCGTTCTCTGTGAGGATGTCTAAGACCTTCGCCCACATAGGTACAGGCCTGTAAGTGTTTGCATTGCCAATCAGATACATGCCGTGTTGAGCTCGAGATAGCAGCACGTTGATACGATTGTTCGTGCTCAAGAATCCGCATTTATTCGCAGCGTTACTCCTCACGAGAGAAATAACCACGACTTTCGCTTCCTCGCCTTGGAAGTTATCGACAGTTGCTAATCGAATGCTTTTCAGGAGGGTTTTCTTGACGGTGACGGGCTTGTGTGGTTGAGGAGCTACCTTCTCGGCTGCTAATTGATCAGCATCGAGAGCTTCTAACTCTTCTAGATCTCGCTCGCCAACAGAGATTTCAAACAATCTCCCCATCTCGCGGCGAAGTCGATTTAGTTGTCCCAGATATGGTGTGATGACAGCGATATCGTCCGGGCCATACGATCCTTGTCTTACCAAGTGCTGGACGAGTGCTATAGTCATTTCGACTTCAAAGGTATTTGTGTGTGAAGTTGTCATCGGATCAAGCTGAACTTCTTGATCCTCAGGTGACTCGTGATGCATCCAGAACAGGCGTTTTTTCATACCATAGATCTCTGGGTATTGAGCTACCGGGCCACCATCTTCAAGCCGAGGATACAAGGTTGACCGAATCAACTCTGAGACGCTAGGGTGCATTCGCCTTTGGGTCTCTAGAGTATCATAGGGTAATCTCGGGTCTGTATCATATGGTGGTTGGATTAAACGCTCGAATAGAGATACATCGAGGGAGTATTGAGCACCTCTTGCGCTCGTGCTTTGGAGTTCGTAATTTACTATCTGTGGTCTCAGCTGTTGGTGGTCGCCGATCAGAATAGCATGTTCGACAGAGGGGAGGAGGGCAGTCAAGGTATGTGCTTCGAGAACCTCTCCTGCTTCCTCGCACAGCATGACTTTACATCTTAGCTTTTGAAGGAGGCTAAGATTCCTCGCCAACCCAGTAGTTGTGACACCAACCACATCTGCTTCATGCAGACATCGCAGGTCAACGTCACGAGACACCTTTTCTAACTCATCTGTGGTATGTTCGTAACTCCTATACTTCTGTATGATGTCGGTTATCAGCGGATCGCGTATTTCGCGTAGCCAGTAATTGTAGAGACGCGTCCTCTCTGCATTGCTCATGGTCCAAATATCCGCGTAAATTAATTGAGTTATGTCACGAGGAGTGTGATTTTCATGGTGGCCACTAGTCCGCCATAGGCCGAGGAGTTCCCCGGGTTTTCGGCGCTGTTGCTGCTGCCATCCATCTTCATCTTCAATACCAAATACAGCATCGTGATGTCTTTTGTGATGTATAGACAGGTAGTTTCGTATCGAAGCTGGAGTTTGGCAAGCTGCAAGATCATTGATCGACTGTGTTATCGTACGAACATCTTCATCGCGCTTTGACCTCAATTCCCACATCGAACCCTTTTCGGCCTTAGTACGATCCGCAGTTCTGGCCACAACGCGGAGATTGAGGCCCTCTAACTCCTCTGATTTCGACCTTGACCCGATTCTAATAATCTTGACCCCGTCGTTCATCAAGTGTACTAACAACTGATCTAGGGCGTGGTTGGTATAACAGACGCAGAGAATAGGTCCGAGAGCAGCCTCGCGCTTATTTGCAAGTAGCACCTTTATTATCTTTTCGCCGGTGAAACCTATATTTATTCACGTTAGTAATTCTCGTTCATCTACAGTCCATGGAATTACTATTAGGACACACAGCCTCTTAGAAAACAAATAAAAAATAAAAAGAGGAGGAAAAAATCATTCTCCAACGCGAAGGATGCTAAGGGTTGATGCTTACTTTTTCCAGTACCTGGCGGACCTTGGATCAGAGCTAGCTTTCTCGATAACGTGTTTAAAAGAGCGCCAGACTGAGTTGCGTCAAGGGATGAATGGCTTGCCAACTCTCGCGGGTCTAGCGGCCTTCGGGGCGAATGATGCAGAGTTGCATTGTCATGCGTAAGGCAACTGAGGTCGAAGGAGAAATCCGGCCTCATTGTGTACTGGGGAGGACCGACGTCTTTGACTTCCGGATCTAGATCCACCTTGGCTGGAGCAATGAACTCGTCAAAAGGCACATCGGACTTCTTTGACATTCGCTGAAGGGCTATAAGTGTATGTTGGAATGAGGGGAGGAGAACACGAGGGAACTCTACAAGGCATCGTTGCTGCTCGGGACCAATATTTTGAAACCATCGAAGTGCTTGACCGATATCATGTGGACGGGCCTCAACAAGGTGCAGGTAAGCATAAGCCCATACATCATCATCAGCAAGAGATGGTTTCCTCGAGGGCTCTTCGTTTCCTTCCGCCTTTCTAACGCCCTTTTGGTCGCTTGCTATGATAGTGTTATCGCCAACCACGCAGAACAACACAGAGTCGTTTCCGGAAAGCATGCAGACAAGGCCCCCAGGTTGAAGACGCTTGGAGTTCCCCCACCAATCTCTCCGCTGCTGGACACTCTTCTTAGTTGTAGGTTGTAGAAATTGAACCAAAAGATCCATGCCCTGGATTCTATCAAAGCTAACATCAACGATTTCTGCTTGTTGATACGCGTAAGTACGAGTAGCGTTCCCGCTACCACGGTCCTGCTTGTGTCTAGGATCCCTCATTGCCTTGAGTTGTGTGCTGACTGCATCTCGGAGTTGGCCTACTGTATCTTCTCGTAGTAGGCGGAATTCTCTGTCAAGGCGCCCTCGAATTCCGGGTACGTGAAATGAAGAAGCGTCGGTAGTTGGTAGGTATTCGTTGCGTATCGAAGTAATTTCTTCATGTGTAGGCAGAATTCTAATATCGCATATGTCAGTGTGGTCGTTATCATGCCGTGGGCCGTCTGCTGAAAGTTGTCCTGGCAAATCTTTGCGCATAATAAATTCGGCCCGCGTCACGGCAGCTTTCTTTTCTGTCTTGGCCTCGGCTAGTGCATCGCCAACTCCAAGACGCCGCTGGAGGTACTGTAAGTGTTTCTGAGCTTGCAGTTTGGAAAATTCGTCTGGAGAAGGGCTAGCAGCTTGGATAGGACTTCCGAAACGCTTGACAATTCTGGTGAAGTTATCATTGACAATGTTGCTAGTGTTACAGTCGATCAGGGTAGCCAGGACCGAGAGCGAAAGTTCACATGCAGAGATCCCATACGGATCATCATCAGCCATAGGCAAATGTGACCAAGAGTCGAGAAGATCTAGGATAAAGTCATATAGAGTACTCATTCGCCTTCCACCGATCCCTAGGATGAAGTTGCCAATGGCAGCAACTTGTTGCTCAAGTACATTGGAATCAACAACACGAGAATGAGTGAGGACTTGGAACAGGGGCTGTATCTGGCTCTTCCATAGGTGTGCTTTGGTGAAATCGTTAGCGGCCAGGGGAATCTGTTGATCCACGAGGTTTTTAATAAATCCGAGACCAGTATCCTGGGCCATAAGCTTCACTGTCTCTTGGGAAGCTCCGATGTCCCCTTCCATCAATTCAAGAGCGAGCGTGAAGAATCTGTCGCACGCCTGCTGATTCGTGGGAGCAACCGAACGAGTAGAACGTGAGTTTGAAGGGGGTTGGTTGAGTAGCCTCTTCCATTCCCGGAGACGATCTTGGACTGGAGCCTGTCCTTCCTGCCGGTCATTGCGCCGTACTGGTGTCCCAGGCGAAACCGACGAAGACGAAGACGAGGCCTCGTGGGAATACTTGCATTGTGCACCAAATTTGCATCTTCCAACCCTGAAGAAGTGGTGACACGGACCCGCGGTTGACCCGCGGTTTCTTCTGGATGTACATGTCAGCTAAGGGGGAACTTAGAGGTCGTAACAGCTACTCCGTGAACTGTGATATATTTTATTTGTAAATAAGGAAGTAACCTCACCTGTCCATTATCGCCGCGTGGAATGACCTAAGTTGGGTGATAGTTGATAGAACAAACCGAGCTGCAAGGGAAAAAGAGATGCTGCTGGCAGCCTTGTTTTAGAAGAAGTGGTAGGCCTTACTAATAAATAGATGCCTAACTATTGTGGTTAAGACACAAAATTGTGCTTCGGAATGACTAGAATGCGGTAGGTGAGAGAAGTTGAAGTAGCAAGAAAAAACAAAACAAAAAAGAACTACAGAGAAAAGTGATGCAGGTAGCCTGCCGGTTTAAACAGTAGGCACAAGGCACTCGTGCGTCGCGAGGCGGCCACGCCAGTGACTAGGTGATAGGTAGGTAGGTACCTAAGGTAGGCATACTTTCTTGCATCACCAAACTTGGCCCCTCTCACGACCTGTTTACAGCAGTACAGCAGTACAGCAGCAATGCATCATCTACATGCAAAAAAGAACCAGTAATCTGCCTTCATGCTTGACGAACAAAGGGCTCGTGTAACAAGACAAACAGCAGGGGTGAGACATCGACTACATACGGTCAACCGCCGATCATGCTGCACTTCAGCCTTCGGAAGCTTGTAAGGGAATATGCTGCATCACGATGAGGCTTCAGGCACCTACATTGGAGTTCTAGAGGGAATCTTCCAGCCAATCCGCTTAACGGCGCATTCAAGTGGATATCCTGAGGCCTAATGCCGGCCGCTGTGAGGTCCGAGGCCTCCTCGGTTGATTCGCCGAGTCCGCCCAACACCCGACCCGTAGCCAATCATACGATCGATTTTGACCGTAAACGCCGTTAACCTCACCACTCCTTCGTATGCGAACCAGGGGGAGTGCTATCAGAGGCTATCAACTCGATATCTGATAGGTTACCAAATGCTGCGGCCGTTTAGCAGGTAAGGCAGATCATTTAAGACAGGGGAGATAGAACTCGACTGCTCGACAACTCCTACTTACGTACAAGGTTCTATTTACGTACGAAGTTCTACTTACGTAGATGGAAGAGAAAATATCTCCACCGAATGTTGATCCTCTAATGGACATACTCTCAGGGGTCCAGATAAAATTGTTACATGTCATTTCCAATGATATAAGCAACTTTGTGTCCTCCCACGACAGGCTAGCCTCGCGAATGTAAGAGAATAATCGAATTATTCAAAGCGCTAGAGTTATAAAAACAAGACATTTTCTGATATCTTGACATGCCCGTCACTCTAGAGGTGAACCGGATTTAAGAGGGTTGGTTCGGATCGCATTGAAAAGTTAGGATCGACCCAAACCGCCCTCAATGTTGGCTGGCCTTTTCATGTCGTGATTCCATTCATGAGAGGTAGTCCGTATATCAACCCGAACCTGACTAGGTAGGTAGGTATATAAAAAGATGATATATATTAGAAATATCATATCAACATCAAATAAGGTTATCATGTAAGAGAGAGCGTGCGTTGACGTTGACCGAGACGAATTTCTTGATTACCTAAGAAATACGCTAAGAGCTGCACCCCGACACCCCGGCCCCGGCACCTTTCTACATTTTCTAAAGAGGGAAGGGATCATCGCTCAACTACCTTGGGTATATTTTGGGAATAGAGGTTCACTGACTAAACAACCACGAATACACAAGGTACTGCTTGCGAATTGCAACCACCTACCTATTACAAACAAACTCCACTAACCTTTTCCGTATGAACTGCTGAATACTTAAACTAGAAACCACGGAAACCATGGAAAATATTTTAAATATCCATAATGTTTGGTAGTACCTAATCAACCTTAATCATTCGTTTTCGATCATGCTGGGTTCTAGATTCTGGGCGCTGTCGCAGGTACGCGCACTCTCGTTTCATCCGATGAGACGCGACATGAAGTGAATACCGCATATGTCACAGAGATCATCATGGCTTTTATATGGCCTTCGCGGGGTTTACAGTAAGTCCATGACATTGGGACCCCATGTTGTAGGTCATTCAAATATCTCCACCATGCCTCGTTCCTGGCGATTTTTCCGTTTGATCAGCTTCGGTTCATGATTTTTATTCTACTCATTCGTATTGCCGGTCAATCTACGCTGTCATAATTTCATCTCATCTCATCAAGATGCTGTGCAAATCTCTTCTCATCCTAGCGGGTGCATCCGCAACTCTGGCTTCCACTCCCAAAGGCTTCGAGCCTGGGTCGACGTCTACTCTGCTGGTTTCCTTTGGCAGTGTCGCCGCAGCAGATGGAAATGTCCTAGAACAAGCGGGTGAGTGTTGGACCTAGGATTCTTACCGTAACTCAGGTTTGCTAATAGGGATTGTAGCAACTCAAACGGCACCAACCATAGGAACACTGTCTAAGGTCGAAGGGACGTCGTTTGCGGTATTGATGATCGACCTCGATATCCCGACGGATAGCCCGCCGGATACGAACACTCTGCTGCATTGGATGCAAACCGGCCTTACACAGAGTACGGCGGCGACACCAATAAACAGTTCAACGGGAAGTACGGATGCCTTCGTATTCCAGAATTCTCAAGGACAAGCAGCCTTCGCAGAATATATCGGGCCGGCACCTCCCGCGAGGATTCCGCTGTCTCATCGATATACCCAAATCCTAGTAGATACGTCGGGCGCTACGGAAGCCAATCTGAATATCCTCAAGGATGCTGCTGCAACCCGGATGGGTTTCGATGCTTTGTCTGTCTTAACACAAGCTGGACTCGCAGACAAAGTTTTAGCCGGTAATTTCTTCAACGTTACGAACCCTGGTCCGGTAACGTCCTCACGTTCAAAGAACTCTACGACTGGTAATGGTAGTGCTGGCAGTACAGGAACTGGATCTGTTATAAAACCAACCCAGACACCGTTCGTTCCCAGTGCAGCCATGGCGTATAAAGCAAGCGGAATGTTGTTAGGGATCGCAATGGCTGGCGCTATGTTTATTACTTTGTAGAGTAAATGCATACTGGAAAAAGGCGGTATAGAAAGCATCAGCAACCTAAAGAGAGACATACATACAACTTTCAAAGTCGGGCGCCGTTCACGTTTGCCGATACCCCTGCTCTTGGATCCGCGAAAATCATAGCAGTAATGAATGACTCGGGCATAGTAGGCTCGGTGTTTCGGAAACGCAAGCAGCCAGATCATCCCGTCTAAGCTACTCGGGGAGATGCCGAAAGTTCCAAAGACGCGCACATACTTGACCCGCTGAGAAGCTCCATGTAACAGTAAGCTCTACGTATTATTGCGGGTAAATAACTACGCCCGGGGAAATAAAGTTGTGTTATGCCGAATCCTGCGATCGTGGGTTTATCATTTAATATAATATTTTCGTCCGGTATCACTTACACTGTACCGACGATCTTCGATGAGACCAGGAACTGCCGCGGAGCTTTTGAAAATATATTTCGGGACTATATACATGAACAAAAACAGTACCCCATTCTCTTACTTAGTTAGGACGACTTGGCCAATCATTGATCTGGATGCTACATTGTTCCCAGATCCAGAAACGGTGGATATGTATCCCCCTCCTCAACCATCCTCTTGGCCGCCTTATTTGATATATTCAAAGAGAAGACTGCATATTTTCGTTTGCAGTTCCTAGTGTGACCCCACTTCACCGAGGGGCCGAATACAAAGCTCTTTGCTCCAAACAGCTTCAGATTATCTTCACCTACCTTATGTAATACCTAGGTACCTAGGTAGGTGGCCATATCAGTCTTGAACGGCATAACTTCTCCGCTAAAGCGGACATGGCCGTTTTCATAAGCTAGCAATAGCTACTCCATAGGCCTACATAGGCGTTGCCAGAGCTGACGATAAACCTAACGATGGGCATCCACTAGTCCGTCCCCAAGGGCGAGGGGCCATCAGAGGTGCGGGACCCTTGCCTCACACACCGAAACATCGCCGAAGCATTCCGGCGGGCAGCCGAGTCTCTTTGTGATCAATTATTCGGGATATACACCCACCCACGCGGGTTGGACAGGCTCAAAGAGATATGTACATACATCCAACGTGCGTTTTAGAAGCTGTGAGACAATAAACCCCTACCTATCTGCAGCCTCGGAATGCCTCATCTGTACCCCAACGTCGCTACCTCCACTTACTTAGCTCACTGTGTACAAGGACTACCTACATCAGATCATCAGATCAGGTAGACTTATTATACTGTAGCCGCAGTTCCTAGTCGTTATGCATACCTTAGTGGCCATATTGGAGACTACTACGTGACTTGCGCTCTGCAGAACTATCAAACGACGGGGACTATCTCTACCTCTGGCTAGTGTAGCTCTGTGGTCAAGACGAGCAGCTAAAACATTACCCGATAATGTCCATGGTGTCCACTTCACCGCTTCCCGAGCTTTGCTATGTTTGAATCGCTACGGACGAAAGATGCCGTTGCCGTCCCCCTTGACCATGGTTGCTCTTTGTCGCGCGAGGTGAGCTCCAACCTTATAAATGGTCGCAGTCTCCCTTATCCATAGATAATTCTTTCTGTGCTTCTCTTTTAATCATTCTACCTTTTATATATCTCCGTAATCGAGTTTTCTTTCCCAGAGAAGCTCAAACAGGACTATCAAATCGCTTCATCAATAAGCTCTATCTACACGTACAACTCCCGACTCTTGCAACGAACTCACACACATCAGCGGCTGTTAGTCTTATTAGATAAAGCTTCAAAAGATATTCAAAATGGTATTATTAGCTCGTCCCCTTTCCTCCTGCTGCATTCGTCCCATCTTTACGCGGGCACTCTCTACGACCACAGCAGCAGCAGCAGCTCGTTCTGTTCGCAATGTTCGGTCTTGTATGCCACTGCGCGCTGATCTGACGTCACGCTCAGCCCTGGCGTATAAGAGTTCACCCGCGGCCCTATTCAATCCCCCATCGTTACGAGTTCCTGCTTCGACGCGTTTACTAACTACGCAACGTGAAAAGGTCAAAGTTCTACTGGTCCTATACGATGGAGGCAAGCATGCCGAAGAGGTAAGTCATAAAAAAGAAAAGAAATTAAGACAATGTTCCCATTGCCCAATTCTATCATGACGTTTTTTTTTTCTTTCCCCTTTCCCTTCCCTTTTACTCCAATTCCAAAACTCGCCCTCTTATACCTCTTTTGCCGTATCCCCGCAATGCCGTATCCTGCCATGCGCAAACTGTCCGTCCAATGACGGCTGTTTGACGCGTCATTGGCTGAAACGTACATGCAATAGTCTCTCTTTGGTAACTGGAGATGGCGGCAGATGTAAAGGTTGAAGGGAGGGAGGGGAAGGGAAAAAGGGGCAGGGGATGAGGGGTAATTGAAACAAGCGACTCTCTACACCCCCAAAGTCCCAAAGTTCTACTATGTAGAGTCCCATCACGATTTACTACTTGCTTTACTTGCTTCTCTCCACTTTTACAGCATGAACTAACCTATCTTTCTTCTACCCAATTATAGGTGCCCGAGTTACTGGGAACGACCGAGAACGAACTCGGTATCCGGAAATGGCTCGAAGACCAGGGCCACACACTCGTTACCACATCCGACAAAGACGGCGAGAACTCCACCTTCGACAAGGAGCTCGTCGACGCTGAGATCATCATTACTACTCCGTACGTGACCTCAACCCTCTCTTCTCCTCTTATAGTTTTAATATCGTAATACCAATATACCAATATACTGAGGGAAAGCCATAAATAAAAAACACTAAACTAACACATGATAGCTTCCACCCAGGCTACCTAACTGCCGAGCGATTAGCCAAGGCTAAGAAGCTGAAGCTCGCCATCACTGCCGGTATCGGTTCCGACCATGTGGACCTCAACGCGGCAAACAAGACGAACGGCGGCATCACGGTGGCCGAAGTGACAGGCTCCAACGTCGTGTCCGTAGCAGAGCACGTGGTCATGACGATCCTAGTCCTAGTCCGCAACTTCGTGCCGGCGCACGAGATGATCGAAGCCGGCGAGTGGGAAGTCGCCGCCGCCGCCAAGAACGAGTACGACCTGGAGAACAAGGTCGTCGGCACAGTCGCCGTCGGCCGTATCGGCGAGCGTGTCCTACGCCGCCTCAAGGCCTTCGACTGCAAGGAGCTCCTATACTACGACTACCAGCCCCTGAAGCCCGAGGTCGAGAAGGAGATCGGCTGCCGCCGCGTCGACAGCCTCGAGGAGATGCTCGGCCAGTGCGACGTCGTCACCATCAACTGCCCTCTGCACGAGAAGACCCGCGGCCTGTTCAACAAGGACCTCATCGCCAAGATGAAGCCTGGTAAGTACCTACACACGTCCTCCGTATTAGACGCTCTCACGACACTTGGCTAATAAATATTCGCAAGGCTCATGGCTGATCAACACTGCTCGCGGCGCCATCGTCGTGAAGGAAGACGTAGCCGAGGCGCTCAAGACGGGCCACCTCCGAGGTTACGGCGGCGACGTGTGGTTCCCGCAGCCGGCGCCCAAGGACCACGTCCTGCGGTACGCCAAGAACCCCTTCGGCGGCGGCAACGCCATGGTGCCGCACATGTCGGGCACGTCGATCGACGCGCAGAAGCGCTACGCCGCCGGCACCAAGGCCATCCTCGACAGCTACCTCTCCGGCCGCCACGACTACCGCCTCGAGGATCTCATCGTCAAGGACGGCGACTACGTCACCAAGGCCTACGGCCAGCGAAGCAACAAGGCTTAAGCGTAGCTTAGGTACTTAAACCAAACCCAAGCTTAAAACACGGATGGGCGTGGCATGGCTAGCTTTTCCGGGAGATGTCTACATAATTACCTACCTACCTAACCTACCTATACTTTTTTGTATGACACCTTTTGTTACTATTACCTAGGTATTACTAAGTCAGCATTATTGGAATGAGATGATGAGAAGGATGATAGCCGGTTGACTCCTGGCTCCTGGCTTGCAGATAGTCGTATGTATTGACGAGCAACGCTATACCTACGAACCTATGAATCCTCTCGTCTGGAGCGGGTATGGCTAGATAGTATAATAGCATAGCCAATGTTTTGAATAGGACCAAGTTTCGAATGTGTTCTACATAAATCATCTGTGTAATATAGTAAAGAACTAGCTCTACCATACTCAACCCCTTGTGACCATAACCCCCCCAACGAATAATCAACAGTATCGAATCATGAATGACCACCTGATGAGAGCCAATACATACCAGTACCTCTTATGTCAGTGGCCAACACTAGTCCATTCTAGTCCATTCTCTAAACTACAACAGGTCAAAAGCCCACCTCAACTAGGGCCGCTGACGTATCGTTTACACCACCAGTGCATTACCTACCTATTACATACCATACAATGTCCAAGGTACCTACGGTATATAAATAACCCCCCTTTCCTCCAACCTTGATGGCCAACTCTTTCCCATTTCGACTTACATCTCAACCAATCAACGATTGAACAACGCATATTGCAACATATTCGCTTCGGATTACAACTTAACTTACAACTACATTCTACTACTATAACAAGACATAATGGGCTGCAACTGCAACGACGCCGGCTCCTGTGCCTGCGCTAGCTCCGGCACCTGCAAGTGCGGGCAGAGCTGCGGATGCGCAAACTGTCCTGTTAGTTAACTACCTCCCTCCCTCCTATCTACCGTTTTCTATAGGTATTACCTCTGTGTATTCGTACCCAATGCGCTAACCTTGAAATAAAATAGAAGAAGGAGTAAATAAAACAAAGAGCATACGGATCATCAAGTCGGACTTGGAAGAAGAATGCTATTGAAACCATCGATCCTTAACATCAACTTTCTTTGAAAACTATTCTTGTAAATTATATACCTGTTAAAGCTCTACGTATTGGAGTTGCATTTGGATGTGACCACCGGGTATCCTAGGATAGTTCTAGTCATTCCTTTAATAACAAAATTATAAAACACAACATATCGATGCTTAATAATTAATAAACATCCTTAATAGCCGTTGTGAATATTCAGGCTCCATTCATTAAGCTTGCTTGCTTGCGTATGCATCACCCATAATATGTCCCGGCCCATGCTAAACCACACCCAAACACCGACTATGCAATCTTTCTCATCCTAATCATTATTCTTCATCACTACTATCGACAATAAATCCCGCTCTAGCCCGCCGCCTCGCAGGTGCTTTCGCAGCAGGCACATCATCGTCATTGTCATCCGCATCCGCATCCGCATCCGCCATCTCGACATCCCCATCGGTAGCGGCCGGTGCCGAACTAGGAGGCTCTTTAGACAACCGCCTTCTCTTCGCGCTCGATACCGAGCCCGCACGCGGACTCGATGACAACGGCGTATCATCCGTCCCTGACGCGCCATTCTCTCGCCCTTCACCCTCATCTTCGTCTTCATCCTCCGACCCCTGCGGCAAGATGAGATCGTCATCATTATCGCTATCGTGCCCCAGTAGCTCCTGCGCCTTGCGCTTCTCGGCCTGTTTCGGGGCGGCGGAGGTCGTAACTGCAACCGCGTTTTTCGCCGCCGCCGCATTTTGCCGCTTCCGAATGCGTTCTTCGTTGGCGTAAAATTCGGCCCACCGCTCTCCGTCGTCCGACTCGTCGTCACTCGCGTGCACGTACAGGTCGCTCTTGAACCGCCGCGCCTTGGCTTTTTCACGTTCCTTACGCGCACGCGCTTTCTCCTCTAATTGATCCTCAGTAGGCTCTTCTACATCACTACCGCGCCGTCGCCGTCGCCGGGTCTTCTTCGGCTTATCTAGAAACTCATCGGCTACCTTTCTTGTCGTTGGGCCGCCTGCGGGGAAGAGAATCTCGTCGTCGTCGTCAGCGATACCGTCATCATCATCGTCGAAAACTGCCTTCCTCCGTACTGCCGCCTTCCTCCTTAGCTGATCCTCGGCCAGCTTGCCGTCGTCGAATGTTGGCGGGCTGAACTCGGCCTTCTTGATCAAGTCAAGGGAATCCTGTATTTGGTCGGCCGTCACGTGCGGAGGAATAACCCAAGCGGACTCGGGAGTCTCGTCCACGCTTGGGACAAGTCGTTCAAAGCCGACGAGCTTCATGAGAAGTCGGAGGTGAGAATTCTTGAACATGGCGGTGCGACGAGCATCGTTATCCGGGCGTATAGCTGAATACCTATTAGTCGCAACTCATTAGAACCTGGCTGGGGAAACCTACAGATAAGAGGTGATTCTTTAGGAGTACTCTCTTCGTTCTGCTGTTCGCTTTCATTACCGGTTCCTTCTATTGAGGGCATTGCCTTATCAGCTGCTTCCCAGGCCCTCTTCTCAGTTTCTGCTGTGGATAGTTGGCCCTTCACCCAGTTGATATGATCAGCCAGGTTTTTATCTAGCAAAACACCGACAGCAATTGCAATTTGCCGATCCCGCTCCTCGATATGTCGGAACTCCAACTCGGCCCCCGGCCTGGGCTGCGACGTGGATAGGGTCTGTTTCTCGTAACCGTATTCCAGGTAGTGTGCTGTAGCATTGATTTTAGAGAACAGCATTTCGATGATCAATTGCGGCCGCTCTTCGATCTTGCGGATGCACTTCTTGAGAATCTGCTTCGCCAGTTCCTCCCATTCCTTGTACATCGTCGAACTCTTGTCCAGAGGTTCCTGGCCTTTAATCATACTGTAGAATAGCTGTATGATGTCAATTCGAAAGAGCATGACGCTCATATTCTGCTTAAAGGCTATGCGGTAAAAGTAGCGATGCGCCCGCTTTAGCTGAGAATCATTTAGATCCTGGTAGTACTTCGTAAATTGAACGAACGTATCCACCACACCTTGAGGGGTAAACCGATTCGCAAAGCGACCAAAGTCGAACTTCCGTTCGCTTGATGTTCGCTCCGCATTCGCCTGGTCGTTCTCAGAATCGTCCTCCTCTTCTACGGGGTTCTCTTCGTCCTCTCCGGTAGCTTTCGCGGCCTTCTTCTTTTTTCGGACGCGCCGTCTTGACCGTACTTGCATATCCACGTTCTGTTTCGAATACGCTTCTAGAACGCGAAGGTAGGTATGTGTAAGATCGGTACAGGCATCAAGATACTCGAAACCCTGGTCCTTATAGTTCCTTGCGATATTCGCAATTCTGTCATGCGTCTCTTCTTCGTAGAAAATGCGGCTAAGAATATTCTCTGCAATCTCTTCGTCTTCCTCATTCCCCGACTCTGACATCTCTTGAACTGTCAAAAGTATCTGAGTAAAACATCGCATAGCAGCGCACAACTCTTGCCAACGCTTGTTTTCTAACGAATCTCCAATGGCTCTATTCAACGTAATAAATGTTTGCTGATTGAGCACCCCAGCAACAAGGTTGAAAGAACCAACGTCTTCAGCGCTAGCCGACTTTCGATCCTTGGCGGCCTTCTTCCGTACTCTTTCGGCTTCCAGAAACCAGGCTACTAGGTAGAAAAATTGGCGCGAGTGATATTCAAAGACATAGTCCTTTTGCTCGTCAAGCTTCTTTCGGACGTGCTGGAAGAGAGGATTGAAGCCAGAATCTAAGAATTCCTCCACGAAACCTTTGAGCTGCTGTCGCGCTCTAGCGTTTAGCGATACTGGAGGGCCCAGATCCTTTGGCTCCATTTCCTCTTTTCTTGGTCTCCGTGGAGGTCGATATACCTTGCTATTGTCCATCTTATGCTGTCTCCTCGTCGCATCCAGTAAGGCGTCCTGGCCACTGACAGTTGAAACCTTGCCATCACCTCGATCCACCCAAACCATAGTCCCCCATCGATTATGCCTAGATGGAGCCTTTCGATTATAAGGTCGATGCATTGCTGCTTCTTTATTCATCATTGCTGCGAGTTCGTTCGACTGTGTCTTGCTAAGTTGCTTCTCATCCATGAATAGCTTAGAAACGTCAACGCGCTTGACGAGATGGAATATAATCTCCATCACAATAATGCCCTCCTGGTTAAAATCTTCCCCCGTATTCGAAGCGATGGTAAGGAGAGTAAGTAAAATATCTTGATAAGAGAACGCATCAATTAGAGCCGATCGCGAGATTTGAGATTCGTCACCATCGTACTTGATTCCAGGGGGTGGCGAGATCATGGCAACGTTCCGCAAGAATAGTAAGATTAGCTTGATGATGCCTTCGTCACGTCCAGATCGATCGCCACGGGACAGAGCCATAGAAGGCAATGCGACTCGCACAGCAGTATGGAGGATCTGGGCGGCATCAAAGTTTATTATAGCACGTTTGTAACCGACCTGGGCAATCTGTAGCACTGGGAGATGCCGATGGTGGTTGACTGTCATCTGGTCGAGATCCCGTTCTAGTGGCCATGTCAACGGAACCATGATCTCGAAGCATGCCAGAGCAGCTCTCGCCCTAAACTTGTTGTCTGTCTCATTTTCGGACCAAGCCGCGATAATATGTAGTAAGTCGCCTTCAATTATGTTCGCCTCGGACAGGCATCGCGCAACGTCCATTCGGTTCGTTTTTTCGTCGTAGAATCGGATCCATTTCTTGATATCACGTAAAACCTCCAGGGCGGAGTCTCCAAGCACGTATCGTCCATCATCGTCGGCGCTGAAACCACCAAGCTACATATCGCGATCAGTTTTTTTTCTCCTTTTTTAATTAACAAAAGGGGCGCAACAAAAACTACTAACAGCTGAGACAAGACTGTTGACGTGCGCCCGAACTTCGGGATGCACCACATCAGTAGTAGTACCATCTGAAGACTCCATATCGGCGGTGAGGAATTGTTTCCTTACACCTGAGTTCTCAGAATAGTTCAATCTTGAATAGTCGTCATTAATGCCAAGACAAGAAGGAGAAGGCTTGAGCTGGTACATGTATAAATTGAAAACGCGTCTTAACGCGTTTTGATTTACAGGAAGACGCGCCAATCCTCTTCCAATTGGAGTGGGGCAGGAGGGGTCTTGTGGCTTGTGCGCTGTACAAAGTACATTACATAATAGTAGGTACCATCAAATGTGGTACCTTACCCGTAGGGCCCACATATATCCGTAGCCCGAGGCTATCCGGTAACTGGCCGGTTCGTCCCTCACCTTAACTCACTTACATCATGTACCTCAAGTCGTCACAACTCGTTAATCTACATCTACTCAGTGTTAGAGTATCATCCTGAGTTAACATAATGGCAGGCGCAATCGGTAGAATAAGAGCTTCTCAGCTCACCCGCCAAATTAGGCACTTTAGCTCCAGCTCGGTTCGACATGCAGCTGAGGTAAAGAGCCTAGGCGTCATAGGCGCGGGTCAAATGGTAAACTTACTTCCATCACATGTGATCCAACGTCTTCATCACTCAACTCACATTTTCCCAGGGCCTAGGTATCGCTTTGGTCGCCGCTCAGAGGGCCAGTGTCCCCGTTACACTTGTAGACTCTTCAAAAGCTTCACTTGATAAAGGGATTGGGTTCGCAGGTTCGTCATATTATTCCCAATTAAGATACTCGTTCAATATGGATTGGAGTACTCAATAATATCCAGAAAAATTATTATCCAAAGATGTTTCTAAGTCACGGATCACACAAGAGCAAGCGGATGAGGCGAGGTCTCGGCTCTTACCTACCACAGCTATCGAAGAGCTCTCAACGGTCGATTTTGTAATTGAGGCCGTGCCGGAGATTCCGCAGCTGAAATTTGACATATTCGCCAAGCTTGCTGAAATCTGCCCGAAGCACGCTATCCTAGCAACTAACACATCGTCCATCTCCATCACGAAGATCGCCGCAGCGACTACTAAGGACCCCAACGACACGTCGGCAAGTTCTCGCGTAGTATCGACTCACTTCATGAACCCCGTACCCATCCAGAAGGGTGTCGAGATCATCAGTGGGTTACAGACAAGCGCTGAGACCCTCGAAACTGCTATTGCTTTCTGTAAAGCCATGGGGAAGATTCCTTCCGTATCCTCTGATTCCCCGGGATTCTTGGCGAACCGGATCCTGATGCCGTACATCAACGAAGCGGTGATATGCCTGGAAACCGGCGTTGGTGACCGAGATGCTATCGATGCCATTATGAAGAATGGCACGAACGTACCGATGGGACCGCTCCAGCTAGCCGACTTCATTGGACTTGACACATGCTTAGCTATCATGAAGGTCCTTCACCAGGAGACAGGGGACTCAAAATACCGACCGAGTGTGCTTCTCGCTAAGATGGTAGATGCTGGCTGGCTTGGGAAGAAGAGTGGTAAGGGGTTTTATGACTATTAACCGAGTGGATTTAAAAGTTATGACATTATATATTTACATCGCCTGATCAGTATATGGTCATGCGTTTTGTAATTCCAATAAATAGGTGCATATTTACCTGAAGGAGTTTGTCCCTCCATATGTCACTACTAAAGTAGATATTAGGAGGCGAAGAGTTCCGAGGACTGGTGGTCTAAAATTGAGGCCATTATAAGAAAATATATTAATGGAAGAGGTTATTTACCTGAGTACCTATCCATATATATCAAATAGTATGTTTAGCTGTGTCGATATTGAAAGGTGTGTATCACTATGCGTAGCCCGGGATATATGGAGTGTCATTAGCAATAAGTACCTATTAAAAGACACAAACGAATGTAAGAGAATTTACTCGGAATTTCCTCAGATCACCATGATATCAACACTTCAAAATTCAGCAGAGAAAGGTTATCAAACATTCACATCATAAACCGCATAAAGTGGAAAAAGGAGGTTCGTAGGTAAATAAAAACTTACTTTATTTCTAATCTTCGAGATTAAAATACCGAGCCTCGCAGAGAGGACCGACGTCTTGGAACTGGTAAGGATGCTTAGGTAGATGTGGTGATTTCTGCCTGGCTCCTAGTACACATGTTTACAGTTAGCAGCCAGCCAATGAAGTAGATTGGTACGCAAAACAACGAAAGACAAGGAAGCAGATCTCAGATGGAATGAGTACGTTTTGGTCGTCGGCCCCTTCGCAGGGCCTCCCAAGAAAGATACTTTGTCATCATAAATACGCGTCGTCCGTATCATGTAAAATATCTGGGGCGTGTTTGGTACTTACAAATCAAATTAACATAGGACCTCCAACCGGGGATTCAGATTGGTAAAACAAAGCGAAAGCATCGTAGGACGCTCTCAAGTAATATCAGCTAATAATTCTAATCATTTCAAAAAAGCCTTGCGAGGTTGTCGAGTCGGTTATCGCTGCCTGCCTGCGGTTCCGTAGCGTACGGTGTTGGATATCAACATATTCGATATGTAATGGGCGTGAGAGAAGTAATGAGTCAAAAGTGTAGTGTTCATTAAATTATTTTGGCTTTCCTTCGAGAGATATATTTACGAGTGGATTGAGTGCGCGTAGGTAGTTGGTATCCAGAGTAACCGCGAGTGACGAGTAGTTGTACTCTACCTCCTTCTGTAATTAAATATTAATCTTTTTAGGAACTTACCTCCATTATTGGTCTTTATTTAAAGTAGTCCATTGATCATATTAGGTAGCTTGAGAATTATAGGCCCGAAAATTAAAGATATAAAGAAGCCTATCCTAAAAAATCATGATAGCCCGGATTTTCTCATTAATCTATGGCACGCGGGTTGTAAGGCAGCAAACAAAGTCCAGGCAAGCAACTTCTAAGAGCGCTTATCTCTCATTCGTATGTTTAGAAAAGAATATTTAATTTACTCCCTGTGAAAATAGATAGCAATATAGAAAGGATGTCTATGACAAGCAACCTAAAGACATCTTATTTTGGCATGGCATCAAAGGGGGTCTACATCGATGCCTGGAGTCCTATCTATAGATTTATGTTGTTTTCTCTCAGCGTTTTTGCCAAATCTTTTCTTGAATTCTTTGGGCTATCGTTTCCTGCGTCTTACGCAGCTACAGGCCGTGGTGCTTGGCCTAGCAAAATAATAAGTGTTAGGTGGGTTGTCAAATTACAACCGCAGTACGATCCTGTACACTATATCGTCAACACCGACAGAAAAACTGCCTTTAATCGGCAATTACAACCAGCTTACACACGAGAATAACTATAACATAATTTTACGTCTTCTTATTTATAGCTTTACTCAGATTCTTCGAGAAAAGTAAAGCCGACCTTCTAAGTCCGCGCCATTGGGTATCGCCACCTTCTAGCACCTTGATTCCTTCTTGAATCAAGGCTCTCGTTGCCACATGCCCTATTACAAATAAAAAATATAGTTGAAGAAAATGACGTAGAAAAGAAAACCTCCTAGCCTGTCTTAGGCTACTCCCCCTTCGGACGCCTGGTCCCTGATGGTGATGATGAGGATGATAGGTAAGTGGTATATGTACAAGCAAGACCTGGGGTCTTGAATGCCTGTCGTGACATGAATACTACATACAAACGGGGCGCGGGCTGCATGCCGACAATGACGCAAACGAGATATATTGTCTAAGCTGGTGGTACGGTACTGTGCGAGCTACCGACACCCCCCGCCCGTTTGTCCCGCTGTGCCTGTTTTCTTTTCCCCGACCCTTTCAGGCCCTCACTAAAAGAGCATTAAGTCTTGCACCACATACTGATGCAATATTAGATGGAACTTCCTATTTACAAACCCCCCGTATCGACACGTTTAGCTGAGGTTCATGACCATCGGTCCAGCGAGTGTGATGTCGTCAGTTATAACACCGTCGGCGGCGGCAGCGCTGGTGAGAGTGACATAGACAGTGCCAGCTAGGTTGGGCGGGAGAGCACAACCCTGAGCAGGGTCGAAAGCGGCGAAGGCAGTACCACCTGGAGCAGCGGAGTTGGTGAAACCGCAGAATTTGGCTCCGGATGCGGCGTCGCTTTGGAAGTTCAGCATGGTTCCCTGTGCGAGGGCCATGATACCGGCTTCCGGAGCAGGAGTGGTCATTGTTAGAGTAGGGAAGGCGGTTAGGACCAAGTTTGAGCCGGCAGGGCATGACTTGATGAATGGGGCAGCCAAGGAGAAGACGGCTTTGGGTCCCAGGGGAGTGTCAAAAGGAGAAGGGGAGGCAGCGACTCCTGAAGCGATGCGAACAAAAGACTGGTGCCTAGCCTCGATAGTAAGGATAGACGCAGCAGTGCTGAGGATCTTGGTATCCGACACAAGGGGCGCAGCACCAAGGTAGGCAGAAATACCAACACTCTCGAGGATGGATGCAGTAGCAACCATACCCGCGGCATCAGTAAAGCCAAAGTTGTACTCGCAGGGCTGGACAGGTTGGACACCAGCCTGTGCAATAGAACTTTGCAGCAGACCGACATGGGACGCTTCGCTAGCACCAATGCTCTTAAGATCGCTTAGCTGTGTAGCGCTCAAGCCCAGGGCGACAAACTGGTCGTCGCTGAACTTGGCAAAACCCTGCTGGTAAAAAGTAGTCTCAAGCCACTCCAGGGTCAGGGCACTGTGTACTAGTTAGCGACCTATGCCTTTATATGGGTAGACAGTAAGAGTGTGGCTTACAATTGCAAGATATCGACATCTGCTAGGCCAAGGGCAGCAGCAGCCGCATTTTGTCGTTTAGCGAGGCTATAGATTTCGCTTTGCTTTATGGTCAACTTCGGTTGGGCCGGTAGAGCACAAGCAACAGCAGCCAATCCCGCCATAACACCCATAGTCTTCTTGAAGGAAGGCATCTTGTCTGATTAATATCGAATACGTCCGTTTAAATTCGTCTTCGTTTCGTTTTCAAGTGAATCGGGCTGATAGCGACGGCGTCGTAAGAGTCGTAAATAAAAGAGCGTCGAAGCAAATAATAAAAATTATCGAAAGCAAGACCAGCCTAGCTGTTATACAAAGAATCCCACCTGGGTATTACAAGAATTACAAGGTATCGAAAAGGAGAGTGATCCCGTGGGAAGCAGACCGGCGCTTTGAGTTCGGAGTTGGACACGAAAATGTACGGGATGAGAAGGGAACGGAGAAGAAGCAGGTCAGAAAATGGGAAATGGGGGCCTCATTAAAACCAGTCGCCAACTGGTAACTTTAGGAGGTGATAGACGTTGCGGGTCACGGAACGTGGGTAGGCCGGCGGCAGTAGGCAGGGCGATGCTAAGCATCGGGGCCCCCCTTGAGGCTCCTTGACAATAGGAAACGGTATCTTCATTCGGTATTAGTGTACAACTTAGGTAGGTATGTACTAGTATGTTGCCCATCCTCCCACGAGCTTCCGACTCCGAGAATCAAGGGGTAGCTCCAGCGCTCCCGGGCAATCTAGATTCCATAGCTCTAGCTCGGGATCAATCAAAGACAGGGCTCGATAGACAACGGGAAGTTGATAGTAGCCTTAGATAGCAGACAGGAGGAAGAAACGAAACGTGGATAAATAAGATATGCTTGCGACGGACCAATTAGAACCGGGTTTGACGATCAAGTTCATAGCTTTAAAGTAACCTTAAAGTTGAGATGAAATAGCTTATTAGGCCCCGGTCCGGAGGGTCGTTGCCAAGAAGTTGTCGGGGTGAGGACCAGGGGTTCTTCTAACTACTTGGGGAAAGGAGATGCCGCTGGGCACGGGGTTTTTACAGTCCAATCTGCTTCAGATGTCGTTTTAAAGAGCGGATAGCCATCCAGCCGAACCCTGAAACTGGGGACTCAGCTATTCCGATTGATTTGTCCGCTACCACGATCCCGAGTAAACTCAGGACTGACTGATATAATAAGTTAAGCTTCATAACGCACCGGCGCAATGTTATGATACGGCTTGGCAGCGGATGTCGGATCTGCTTTGAGATGCTACTGATTACAGATCGTGTTAAGATGTTGTCGGTCATACATTTCATAGCGATTTTGATAGTCTACCTATAGCCATTTAGTAGAATTGTTAGGTAGGTTAGGTAGTTATTAAGAGGTATTGAATGTCTATCGTAAATCGTAAAGAACGGGAGAAAAAGAAAGAAGTAAACCCCCAGAACAGACATGTCAAGCACCGAAGAATAAAGGTATCCCAAGGACCTGGTAGACCGCCGACTAGGATTCTCATTGGTGGATGCCAGATTGAAATGACAGGAATGGCAAATGTCGTACCAAGCGTTCCTCGACGCCGCTAATCTTGACTTAACCTCAGCTACGCACACTACGGCTCAGCGAACGGACCAGAAAGAAGACAAGAACACGAACAAACTTTACCAAGGGCCATCTTTCGGGCCATCACATTTACACGGGGCGCCTCTGCATCCGTGCTAACCCCCATAAATGACGAGATCTCGGTACTCTAACCTCTTAATACATTCCATATCTCAGCCAAGTCTGGTTCCGAACCCCCAATAGAGAATATACACTAGCACGTGAAAAGAGAGGGGAGCGAGACGGACCGCTACATGATATGTGCGAGCTCTCGAGGCAGTTGACGTCGATCAAGCTTGAAGGACCAGGGGTTCATATCTCGGAAAGGTACATAAAACAGCGGCAGCTGTAGCACGTTGCACATCCGGAGATCCATCTTACCGGATCTGTCTGACTGCCTGAAATATTCCATGCGTCGTGCCGGTAGAAGCAAAGGCCCACCGCAGCTCTGAAAACTACCTACATTAGGTACAAATATTTATCCCAAGTAGCCGCTACAAAACTTCTTGTAAGCCCGATTCTAGCTATATGGATACTTGAATAGGACCTAAGGATGTGAATTTATTGTCGTGGGTCATGTCAAATATATACATAGTAATTGTGTTACTCACCTACCTAATAATACATCGTATATAATCAGATATTGGGAAGGGTTAGATCTTCTTGATAGCGATTTTATTCATAGTACGATCTCGTATATTTCTGTTGACTGTGGCAGTTTCCTAGTTCTATCTGCCTCTTCATGAAACACTTTTATTAACACAGTAAGAGCTGCACTTCTCGGGTTTCGGTCGCGGTCGCCACCTTACAATCTACCCTATTTTCTTCTTGGCTACTTCACTCTACATCACTCAAGCAACATACCAATCGCTCCAATGCTCCTAAAGTCCGTTGCTTCGTCCAACCGTCCACGTCAAGCAAAACACATCGTTGTGAGGAAGACTCATAGAGCATACGGGTTAAGCGAACGTATCGTCAAGCACCTGCGTTGGTTAGTTTATTTACTTCGTAGAAAAGATTAGGTTCACATACGGTGGGCTCTTGCTGAGATCCGTCTTAAGGATCACAGGCACTCTGGTCATCTCTGTCACGTCTTGGATGTACTCGCCACCTTCTTCTCTCAATGCAAATAGCTTGAGATACTTCTCCTTGTTGGTCAAGCGAGATTCTACGGCTTCTGCCATGGGCACCTTTGAGTCGGACCTGGTTCGGTGAAGGACACCAGGATTCGAGGCGGACCGGGTCGGTGAGCCTGGAACACTCTGAGTCGGACGCGGGGCTAATGAAGCACCCGCCATAGCCTCGGTAACATCAGAGGCGTTGTCGTCCTCGTCTTCATCGTTGAATAGAGCTTCGGCAGCATCCGCAGGCACCGTGCCTGTCTCCGTCTGCTTCCGTGCAGCTTCCTCTCGTTCCTTCTTGGCCCTCTCGGCCTCTTCTGCCTGCCTAGCAGCCGCCATCGCATTCGAGATGCGCTGCGATGCACCCGCCTTGGGCCGTTCATCTTCAGGCACGTATGCTGAGCTTGGAACGCCCTTCTCCCAGTAGAGCTCTAGAATTCTCTTCTCCTTCCTGAACTCGGCTTTCTTAAGCGGCAGCTGGTCACAGTGCACACGCTTCTCGAAGCCCCATTCGGGGATTAGAACATCAAAAGCAGATTCGTAAACGCAGATCACGATTCCCTCGCTAATAAGATCGCCGTTGACCTCCTGGCGTTTCTTATCCATGATTCTGCATGACTCGATGTGAATGCTTTGCTCCTGGGCATTTTGTGCCGATTCCTTCTTGGTGTTACAAGATTCAATCGTCTTAACAAGGTTTTCAATATCGTCATTATATTCAATCTTGCCTTCTGAGAGGACGGCCTCAAGCTGACGGTGAACGATGATGTCGGCATAGCGCCTCGTAGGTGCGGTAAAGTGAGTATAGAGAGGTAGATTCAGAGCATAATGAGGCCAAAGCTGTTTGTTAACCTTGCCAGTGATAAAGTACTTGGCATGATGCATGGTTTTGAGTAATAGTGTTTCCATACCCTTGCGGATATCGGAGTCATCGACCTTGAAGAGGCTATTCTGCAAGGTACCGCTGCTAGTAGTATCAATATCGTATCCAAGCGCCCGCATGCGTTCAACAAATGTCTGTAGGCGTCGGGCATTGGGCGGGGATTGGCGCCGAAGTAAAGCCTTCTCAGGGAGACCTTGAGCAAGCTTTTGAGCGACGGCCGCATTGACCTTGTGCAAAAGCTCTTCGACCAGCTCAGTACCCGGCGTAGAGTCGAAAATGTTATGTTGAATAGGTATATCTTCATCGTCAAGTTGGTGAAGGAGTCGAAGAGGAGCCATAGGCTCTCCCTCAGATCCCAAGCGCGACTCGCGGAATTTCTGTGCAACGGCCTAGGGAAAAGATTAGAGAGCTCTCACAGATTTGGGGAAAATAGAAAAAAACTTACGTTAAGAATTTGGGCATCCTTGACTTGGACGACATCATGTACGAAGCCAGGCTGATTCGCGAGGGCGTCATCTAGTTCCTTTAGAGCCAATGTAGCACCACTCTTAATAATACTCTTGCCAATCCAAGTGTCACCCTCCGCAACCACGCCGGTGTGAGGGTTAACGCGGAAGACAACACTGACAGTAAGCCTATCCTCACCCGGAGTAAGGGTGCAAAGCTCCGCAGCGATCCTAGGGGGAAGAAGGGCACAGGTTCGGTTCACAAGATGAACGGCAGTACCGCGCTTCTTAGCTTCACGATCGACGAGAGAGTTAGGCTTGACAAAATGAGTGACGTCAGGTATATGGATACCAATCTCGATCTTTCCATCTGATTCAGCTTTGACGTGGACAGCACTGCCAAGTTCCCCAGTGCCGGCAAGGTCAAGGGTGAAAGTCTTTTCGTCGCGGAAATCCCGTCGAGCCCCAATAGAAGCCTCATCTTCCTTAGCAATGGTCCAATCTTGGAGGCCAACACTTCGCAAGACAGCTTCCGAGAATTCATCGGATGAGAAGTTATTGTCGCGTAGGAGAGCATCAGTCTCCACTTTGAGATCACCCATCTTACCAAGCTGCTCAACGAGCGTACCGAAAGGATGTAGAGAAGTAATAGGCCAACGTTTAATACAAGCAACAAATATGCGATCAGCGTATTCCTGATGCTTCTCTACAAAGTCTCGTGGTGCCTGTTCGGTAGGGATGGCAATTAGAGGGACACGCTTATCAGTAGGCTTAAACCAGACAATCTTAGGTTTGTCTTGCTGGCGATTGTCGTGCGATCGACCGCCGTCTCTGGCGGCTCGTTCAGCCTCTTGCTTCTCCTTGGTCGCTTGGCTGCTGGGACGCAGCAAACCAAGCGTGCCTGAAAACATTTGACCTGCAACACGCTCGATAACAGCTACAATGTGTCCAGCATAAAGTGGTTTCGATTCGTCGTTGATTTCCTCTTCCTCGACGAGAAGAAGACTTTGCCCCTCCACTTCTACGTCATCGTTCTTTTTCTGTGTAGGCCTCTGCCGAAGACTGCCACGTCGGCGAATCCCTCCTTCGCCGTTGGCAGCCTCATCTGAGTTGGCAGAATTTGACTGAGCGTTACCGTTTGTCGAGCCAGACCTTGTGTCGGTGATATCCTTTCTCTTCTTCTTCTCCTCCTTTTCTCGTTTCTGCGACCATACCTCGTCTACGTCAAGGAGTTCAACTGCGACAAGATCGCCTTCTAGGGCTCGATTGCGGTCTTTGCTACCACAGATAAAGATATCTGCATCTAAAAGACCGTCCGAAGTAGAGACATAAGCGTCACTGCGATTCTTCTTGTTCACTCGGAGAATACCGGAGACGAGTTGTCCATCACCAAGCAACGCCGGCAAAGTAGCTTGAGGGAGATATGGGGTGAAGAGGGTCTTCCTCTGTTGTTGCTGTTGTTGGGATTGTTGACCGCCCAGTTGTGGTGCATGTTGGCTTCCCTGGAGACCAACAAATTGCTGTCCATTCATCTGCGCAGCTTGAAGGGCTTGGAGCTGGTTAATCTGCATAGGGTTAAGTTGCTGGCCAGGGTACATCTGCATCATTTGCATCTGACCGGGCATTTGCATAAGTTGAGGTTGGCCAGGATATTGGAAAGCCCCGATGTTGGAAATAGATTGCTGGCTCACAGAACCACGAGGGCGATGGCCAGGCTGAAACCCCTGTTGGCCCTGACCAGCCTGATCCTGACCCTGGTTTTGACCTTGCTGGTTACGCCAATTGCCCTCAAAATTGCGCGAAGAAGTTCGTGCATGGCCGCTCGAGGCACTACCACGGCGGCCAAAATCACCGGTGTCGTTAGGAACGTGCAGAGCACCCCCACCGCGACCACCTCCCCGGCTATTGACAGCCATGCTTTGGCTTCGTCCGTGTCCGCCGCGTCCGCCGCGAGTAGATGAACCCTGTGCTATGGGGGTATCCGCGGTAACGGACCTAGTTTCCTCGGCAGGGGAGCCTTCGGGGGGTCCCGCAGCTGGGAACTGAAAGCCAGAGGTCGTTCGTTTCTGCTGAGCAATCTCAGCTGCCTTTTTGGCATCAGCCAGGGCTAAAGAATGCCTTCGCTGGTGACCGGAGCCGCCACCTCGCCCTCCACGAGGTGCGTTCTCCCGATTCTGCTGACCAGACGAGTTATCAAATTGCCCAAAAGTGGACCCAGAAGCTCCGGCAGAAGGAGCCGGAGGGGGTCCGATTCCCATGTTGGGGAGGGCCGATTGGTTACGACGGTGCGACATGGGTTGACTTGGTGGACCCATGGGAACATTCTGCTGCTGTGGAAGCTGGTTGGGGAACTGAAAAGCCGTCTGTGGCGACATATTAGCCATAGGTGGCTGCAAAGGGTTGAAAGAACCACCGTGGCCCAACTGGCCCGGTGGCATCATTCCCATATTTATGTATTGTTGCTGTGTGGCTTGTATCTGTTGCTGCTGCTGCTGCAACAACTCGATCTGCTGCTGAATAGCGAGTTGCTCCACTAGAAATAAAGCAACGTAGTTAGTATCAAGAAGGACCAAGAACAACAGAGCAAGCTATAGTACGAGGATGGGATACGGAACGGAAGCAATGGACTTCTAAAGGCAAGGGGTGCGAACTTACTCCCGGGACTTGTGAACATGCTCATCAGAGGGGTAAGCTCAGAAGGACTCCTGCGATGGGCGATATGAAGGCGACGGCCAGTAGGTCCGGGGACGCCCCCGGCCTGGGGAGCGGGCTGTTGCTGCTCCATGTCGGGCTACCTAGGAAGTGCGAAGTTGCACGTCGAGTGCGAACAATGCTGCTAAGCTAGCTGAGATGTTTAGATGATGATTGAGGCGAGGGCCAGTACTGTTTAGAGCTTAAGCTGCTTGGCAGTTGACAAAAGTTGATAGCGGATACGTTCTTCAGTGGTGATTGCGTGGACTTTTGCGACTAACAAAAGGAGGGTAAATGAGAGGATTGAACAAGGTTGCAGTGATGCTGTGTGCGTCAGAATCCCGTAGAGAAGGAATGTGAAGATGTGTTGAGAGAGGGTAATGAAGCGGTGCAAAGATACGGGAGAGAGACAAGACGAGAGATGGTGATGGAGATGGAAGTTGGGAAGCTTTGGAGTTTTAGGGAAGATCACTCTCCAATGGCCACCTGGGATACGGGGAAGAGGATGTGAGGTCAGGACTAAAGCGAAGACGGGCAAAATGGGGCAGTAGGTCTTGGCGGGCCAGGCTTTTAGCTGGGCTGGGGAACGTTTGATTGGTTAAAGGTTTCGTAATGTGGTAAGAGGTACGAATGTAAATGTATTCCGTACTGATACTAACGAAGTAACAAGGTAGGCTTGCCCCTGCTGTAAGTCTAGAGTTTGTATTGTACGGAAGTCCCCATCAAAAGTTTTGTCCATAGGCCAGCCCTTATTAGCTTTTGACTAGCTTTGACAGGGCTTGGCAACAGCTGTACGTCATCGAGCGCTTGTACTATCCATAGTACACTACTTTCGCTTATATATAATGACTCAAAACCTTCTCCTCAAACAATAAAAGTTATATACGCGTATAAAGAAGCTTTTTTACTTATAATAGATCCAATTTTAATCTTTTCATTAGCACATTGAAGCTAAAATTGGATATGTTATAAAAGCTAAAATTTTGTATACATTTCTAATCTTGGCTGCCGCATGGTGTCAGGTTCCAGACAGCTGCATCAAAAGCTGTCAGGTGGCACGTATGGACAAAACTTTTGATGGGGACTTCCGTACTATGGACAGAACCAGTGTGCTAGGTTGCCCTAGTGTAGGTACAAGTCTAGGTACATAGGTAGCTACCTAGATAAGTACCTAACACCAATAGGTACATACAAAGCAGTCTAGGTGGCCCCAGCCTGAGCTCGGATTAGAATAGATAACAGGTAACCTTACACTTGTCCTTTCGTTGTTTGAAGACTCTTTAACTACCTAATGTATACTTGATTTGCATACTAAGTAAAAGCTATTGGAAACATACCTCAATGAAAACTAATGGGAATATAAAGCACGAATACTATAGGTATGCATTAGGTATGGGAACATGGTGTACGCAACTAAGTACAGAGGTACTTGGTTTTAAACTTCATGAAAGGACGCAAAGGACGCGTACCTACATGTAACTTGAAGTTACCTTCAATTGGGGACTTTGGCAGTACATGCTGCGAGGTTATCTGGCAAGAAGATAAATGGGATGAAATTAGAAGGGAAGGCAGGATTACTCGATACGAATTACAATGCAGGTATAAAGATAGTACCTAGTATTGGAAGTGGCAGTATCTTGGCTCAGAGCCTTCCTTCAACTACAAATTGGGTAAAGAATTACCATGAGATTAGTAGACCATCGTCATCAAGTACATGATGTGCTCTGTTGGTCTCGGATGGGTTGACACTTGGACTAAATATACAAATATACTAATATACAGCACCTATTAGAGGTACCTACCTAGTAAGCCGGGGCAAAAAGAGCTAGGGTTTATAGAGGGGTCTCGGGAAGCTTCGCATAAAGGTAGGTAAACTAGGTATGTACCTAGTCAGGTATTTAAATGAGGTAGTTTAGGTATAATATGCGCCCGCATACATATTTATTGATGTGTTAGGTAAGTTTAACGATGAGCTGAGATATCAGTGTACGTATATATATTTTATCTTGTTGGGAGTTAAATCTAATGCTTAATGAGACTTTAAGCCAGGGAAACCCTGATCTCGAGTGAACCCTAATAAATTGGATGCATATTGGATGCATATTGTCATCCAGATAATACCCAAGCTGCCAAGCGGTACTACCTGAGTAGCCCATCTACCCACTTATAAGAGCCACTTAACTCGACCTATTAGTATACTAAATCAACTTCGAACTTGCACCAGCACAAGTCTGACGAAGGGATGATACTAGAACTCCACAAGAGGTCCTTAGTTCCCCTCGTTCTCCTCTACATAACAAAAGTTTCTTACACAGGTACACGATACAGCTTGATCGAAGAGAAAATCGAAACGCTTAATGGCAAGCAGCGTTGCAAACTGCTATGATGTTTGACGATACCCAAAGAAATCCGATAGTGGATCTCGTTCCTTTATCATCATCACCATCGTCACCATCGTCACTATTATACATATAGATGTTCTCGCAACCTGTTCCAGTTGCCGTAAAACCCGCTGGAATACACGGTGTGTCAAAAAGAAAAATAGCAAATATGCCACGTGAGCCCTTGCAACTTTAGGCCTTTCTGATATGTACTTCGAATATAGGTAATAGTATCGAAGGGATATTTTCCTATTAGAGGAGTATTAGATGTATGTCCTAAAAAGGCATATTGCTTACTCTTTGGATAGGTAGTTGACGAGTTGATAAGAAGCCTGAGAGCGACTTTTTACTATCTACCTACCTACCTACGTGGCTTACCTAAGGTATCTTAGCTACATGTACCTGTGTATGTACAACATGTACAATACACAGAAACTGCATGGCCACGCCGCCATAATGCACATGTGGTTCATTACATAGGTCAGCCACGACCGGGTTCAGTGCCTTCCATTGTAGGTACCTACCTGAGTAACCTTATTAAGTAAGCAGATCAGCGCGTACCTCAGTCTTTTTCCTAACCTTCCTATCGATAACTCGAATTGGTCTTCATACAATAATTCACCGTTCCCATCATTGATCCCTGCGATCCTCGACCTCGTTCTTATTCTTCAGAATCAAGCAACATAAATACCTGATCGTTCCTTTACATATCCCTATACAATTGAAGCTGACGCCTCATATTTTGACTTTCTTAGGTACTTAATCTCACCTGTTCACCATCCTTTTTTTAATTGGTTTACTAATCTTTAACAGTACTTCAACTGCTGTCGCGCGCCACGATCACCTTCGCAAGATCCGCAATGCTGTAGTACGGCTCGGTAAATGCAATGGCTGGTTCTTCTCCCGCTGCCCGTACATCACAGCAATGGTCCACCCCTGACCGTCCTCAAATGTCCAGTATATCGTGCATCCTCAGTGAAAATCGTAACACGGCAATTAGCCATCAGGATGCTCTCGCACGAGCTCAAGCCGAGCACGATCGCGTTCGCGAGGCGGCTATCAGAGTTTACCACGACCACGAGCTGCAAGAGGAACAAAAAAGGCTGTTAGAGCAGCAAAAATGGATACTGGAGCAACAAAAGTTAGAGGAAGAGCGAATCCGAGCTGAGGAACGGCTGAGGGCTGAAGAGGAGCGCCTAAGAGCTTTGAAGGCCAAAACAGTCCCTAAGCTGCCACCAGAACCGCCAACACCTGTTGCCCACACAAATGGGTCCGCTGCTGCACCGGCCCAAATCAGCACTGTCGCAGTAACAGCGAATTCAGGAGCATTATCCAGCTCAAAGCCGCCCACATTCGGTGTTCAACAGCCTACCTCGACCAACGCGCCAAGCGGGTTTGCCAATGGCACAATACAGCCAAATTCATCACACCCGTTTGGTCAACCCAAAACTATACCTCAAGGTCAATCATTGAGCGGCCCTTCACCATTTACACAGCCGACAAAAGCAATTTTACAACCCAATGGTTTGTCAGCTGCAGCTCCTGCAAAACCCCCTGTCGCCATTGACATAGATCGATACGTCGAAATTCATAAGAATCTCAAAAAACTACGGGCATCCTTGTTGCAACAATCCAAGTTATCTCCGCCCTTGAAAAAGCGGATGGGAGATATGCGGCGAGAACTAAGAAAGAATATGGGTCAACTGGTAGGCGAAAAGGGAGGCAATAAGAAACAGGTTTGTTCTTCTTTGTTCTTTGGTAAAGTTTAAACTAATTGGATACTAGATAGCGGCTATTCAAGCATTGCTGGATGAATCGCTCCGGGGAACCGTACCAAGCGAGCTGGTCGACCCGTCCGATTACATCACGGACAGAAGAGAACCAGTCGAAGGCGCATTACACAACGAGCCACAGCTTCCCTCTCTATTTATCTACCTTCTAAATCACTTCTCCAAAGCTGTTATCAACCAGTTCATCAACGAATGTGGAGCGCAACCTAAAACTGCTGATCCTATCGGCGTTATTGTTGCCATGATTTTCTCCAAGGATCTCTACTTATGGAGGGGGAAGACTTTGATCGATATCCTAATGGCGAAACTACGCGTGGTCTGCCCTGTTCTCTTTGGATATCATGGCAGTGAGAAGACGGAAAACGGTCGTCTTCGCCTAGGCTGGAAGAAGACAGAGACTGGATGGGCACCCGAGCAACAGCATAGTGACCGAATGAAGGGTCTCGGAGCAGGATACGCTGCGATTGCGCTGAGGAACTTCTCAAGTTCGAAGAACACCAACCCATGGCCCCCGTCGAAGTACTGGGCAAGCATGGCACGGATAGTGAACACTCCACCAGCCGAAATCACGAACACACAATGCGTTGTTCTTAGAGCTATGATCGAGACCAGTGAGGAGAAGTTCATTCATTTCTACGGAAACGCAGCGATAGCTGCATTGAGGAAAGCGTTGGTGGAATTCCCCGGAAAAGCCGTAGACAAGTCACCTGGAGTTTCAGGATTGCAGGTTCTGGCACAGATTTTGAAGCGGGATATAGGTTTGGAATTATGAGCTGCCTGTATAGTACTCAAAAGGGATGGCTCGGTGTTGGTGTAGAAAGCGGTAAATCGGGGTTTTTTCCCTACGGCGTTTAAGGAGTAAACACCTCAATTAGCATAAGAAGGCGTCTAGAAACAGCTCGTATAGATACTGCCTCTTCTAGAGTCTTCGAATATACCCAGCGGAGATGGTCAGGATATTCACTCTATTACTAACATTGAACGACTGGTCCTCAAACAAAATTATAGTGAACCTCGCCTGTGCCCGTGCCAAACGCCTATAACACTAATAGTAGTACTAGTAGTATAATCAAAACCATAATGAGGACCGCGATACAACAGCTGCTATACCGATCCTCGTTTTTCCGCATGACGTACCCTAGCTTCTGCATGCCCGTCTGCAGACGGCTGCCGACACGATCCGCCAGGGTATCCACCGTCTCGAGCATCTCAACCTGTTCCTCAAGCTCCCGGCCCATGTCGTCGGCCTGTCTTCTTAGATTCCCTACTGTAACAAAAACGCCATCCAGCTGCTCGTCCTGGTCGCGCATCATCTGTAATTGTTGGCGGTGCTCGAATTCTGCATAGTTATCCTCACCCCCCTCTCCTCCGTCGTCGATAGCAAACGCGCTCGGCGGCGGTAGATCCCCATTGGCCGCTCCCCTAGCTGCGCGCGCTGCGGCAGATGGCGTCTTGGGGTCCGACGC